TACGGAGACATTTGCTCTTATGGCTTCTCTCTGTGCGACAACGTCCGACTCGGGCGAGTGCAGCCTTGCTTCAGCGAGGGAGAGATCTGACCCTGTGCTGTTGCCATAGAGTGAGGAGGTGACAGTAGAGGTGGGGAAAAAGTTCTTTTTGAAGGTGTTTCTCAAATTGTTGGACAGATTTAAGGCCGTGGTCATAATCTGCTGTATTTCTTTTCAAATGAGAACTGCCCTTGTAGTTGAGCTTCTTGGGGCTTGGGGTTTTCTCTTTTTTTTTTATTTTTATTTTCTGGGTACTGTAATCCTGGGTTCAATCATGAGGCATCGGCTGCTAAGAAAGCCACAGCTGGAATTTAACAGTATAATTGTTCCCGTGTCTGCTGGTTTAAGATTGCTTAGTTATGTTTTTGTCAAGTGTAAAAGCTTTCAAGGTTAATAGTTCCGGTGAACTACTGCGGTTGTTACTTAATTTGCCGACTTGCCGCAACGGAGTTTTCTTTTCTTGTTCTTTCTTCTCTTGTTATTTCTTCAGTGATAGAACAGTTCCTGTTCAAAGTGGCAAAGAACCAAACAGTTTCATTAAATGCCTGACTTTGGTCTCTAGTACATAGATTGGTGTAAGAATGGTGCAGCTGTCCAGCTGTTAGTAACGTTTGAGTACGTAGATTGGTGTAGAAATTGAAAGCAAACATTTTCTTTTCCCTCTGACTCTTGCTTTGTATTCCTCAGCTGACTTTTTAAAAAATTGATCGTCAGTTCAGGTGGCCCTTTTGTTACCAGGGAAAACAAATGTTGAGTGTTTATGGCCAGCATCAGTTGCAGGTGGCAGGACTGCTGGTCTCTAGAGATGCCATTATTCTTGGTAGAGAATGTGAGGCAGAAAAAGTGAATGTTTTAACTTTCCTGCAACACTCAGTTATTTTAAGTTTTTAAATCTGTCAGTTTGTAATTTTTAAAATGGTTAATTATAAATCTAGTTTAAAGGTGCATTCTCTTTCCTTGCTTCCGGAATTCACACAACACATTTCATCCTCACTCTTTTTTCCAAGCTCGATATGTTGCGGAGTCTTAAATGTGTTTCAGTATTTACCAGCTTTGTGTTCCATTATTCTGTGCGCACCAATACTTCCCAAAAGTTTTTACTGAATTCCACGGTTCGATAATGGTAGGCAATTTTTAAGGTTTCCTTTCAACTGTAGTTTCTATAAAGTAGCGTAGGTTTGTATTTGGGAGTGACAGCAAGCGGTTTTGCATTCGTTGTGCAACTACTTCTAACAATGGAGCCCTCCTTCTATTTCCTTGCCGAGGTGAGGTGGATGCAGATTGACCGGGCGTTTTCTCACGCACGTAGATCATCAGAAAGAGTCTGCTAATTGATGCAAAGGAATACTGAGGGTATCAAGCCTTTAACAAAAGGTTTCAGGGTATTTCTGAACCTGAAATCCCAGGAATGGGATTTAAATGCTTGTGGTTTGAGTTCTCTATTCAAAAGCTGTTGAGTAGGGGATTTCTGCCAGAGTCCTTAAGGAGTAAGCAAACGCTACCTTTTCGGTTCTCTCTCTCTCTCTCTTTTTTTCTCTTTTGTAAAACTGTTTTCTTAAGTTTTGACTCTATCCAGATTTTTTTCTTCGTATGTGTTCTTTGTGTTATTTTAAAGCACCAAAAACTGTATAGTTAGAGCTCCACAAAAAAAAAATGCACATTTTTTTTATATAAGGCTTTCTAATCAAGTTTCACTACTGCATCTTTTTAGCTTGCTGTTTACTCCCTTTTGTAGTTTTACCTACAAGATTTTAAGATAAATCAGCTAAGTCTGAGTTAAATATTATTCACAGTTATAGCTTTACCTTTGTGTGCAATTTAAATATGTTTGAAACCACAATTGGCATAGTTTTGCCTTAGCTAACATTCGGGGCTTTAGAAGTAATTTTTTGCTAGTCCACCTTTAGCAAATTGATGAAGTCTATTGCCCTAGGAAGCTATAGTCAACCAGAGGACCATTTTTGTATTGTTACCTGACGATATAAGTCTGATTTACTGTATGTGCTAATATATTATATTATATTCCTTTTGTTATAGATTGTCCTAATGGCAGGTAAAGCAATAAAATGATTTAAATTCTTAAATGCAATCAGTCTCTTATTTATTTATTTTCCCATCCCTATCCTGTGTTTTCTGTTGGCCTTCAGACGAGTGTGTTATGAATGAGGTGGTAGAAAACAAGGAGCTTAATGGATTAGCTTGAGCTTGAGCTCAAGTCCGAGCTTAGAGCAGGAACCAAACCTTCCCTCTGGAGCTTGGCCTCCACGAACCAACCTGGAACTTCTCTGGAGTTCTGACGCTGGGTATGTGCGGAAGCAGGAAGGTAACCTGGCTCTATCTTTTAGCAACTTGTGCTGCTTCGGGCTCTTGTTGAGGTTGGTGATTCCCGGCCCGGCCGCTGTTACTGGAGCTTGGAAGCTTCTGTAAGTCGTCTGCTCCCTTAATGAAAGTTCTGCGCTTGTGGTGATTAATCGTGAATGGCTTTTGGTGGTCAGACAGCAAAAAGCAGAAGAGAGGCATTTTCACATTGCGTTGAAGTATGAAAACAATTTTGAAGCGTGACCTGAAGCGGCTCAGACTCCAAGAAAGCTGGTGCATGCTTTAAAGCTGCCGTGTCAGGGAGAAAAGGTAAGGAAAGCAACCTTGCAACCCATGGTCGTGCACCAACCATTTAATATCTGTGAGTTTGTTTTCTTCATCTGGCCCTTCCTTTCCCCCATCCCCTTGAGCAAAAAAAGGATGAAAATAGAATTCTTATTACCAAACCCAAAACTTTAAAACTTCCGCTTCCAACCTTCTAACTTGACTTTTAAACTTATCTTCTTTTGCCATGTTCTATGTTCTTCCTGTTGAAGCAGCCAACAGTAACCATTCCATGACAGCAGTCAAATTAATTTTGGTCTTGGCACGGGTGATAATTGCACAAAAAGTCACCGGTAGAGGGAGATACAACTTTGGGAATACAGCGCCCTGGACCGAAATAACCGCCTCACCCCTGCATGCCAAGAGTGAGTTAAATCCTTTTATTTCCATTTATTCTGTCCACGGGAGTAAAAAGGGCCGTAAGCCCACCAATGTTGAGAATTCTGCTTATTTGATTGAGACTAAACTCTTGCTTTTGTGAATGCTGGAAATGGAGGGATGTGGCTGAATCATAAGTTGGGATTGATTAAAGGAGCATGGGGGGGGTGTTGGATGTTCTGGGTGTTTCGGTTTTTGGTTGGTTGGGTTTGCAGGGGGTGTTTTGCTGACGTTTGTGCCTTCTGAATATTGGAGGAAAATCCCTGCTAAGCAGAAACACTCCAGACTTCCTCAAACAGACAAATTAATAGAACGGGCACCTGTAAGGGACATACTCAAATTATCATTAGTCTCTCCTGTAGTTTTACAGTGTGGAGACAGGGGGTCAACTGCAGAATTACTGTGGAGTTGAATTAAATGTCAGCACAGACACCTTTGAAAAGCTGTGGCCAAGCAAGCTTTGTTCCTGCCCTGCGTGGTCTGTGTCACCAAGTTCCCTTTAGGTTGGAAGAATTCCAGCCCGTGACAAAACGAGCCCGTGGCAGGAGCAGCAGCTTGTTGAGAACCTCTTAAGAGCTGCTGCTGTAAAACACTGGTGCTGTGGTTTTAGGACTCTCCCCTAAAAGAGGTCTGCAGTCTGTAGATATGGGTTTTCTTTGGTTAAACGTAAAGCTCCTAGTAGGTCAGTTGTGTATTTTTTTGGTTTGATTTTTCCCTTAAGGAGGATAAATTATCAACAAAGTTCTCACCTACTTTCCCTCAGCTGCCAAGAGGCTCAGCACAGTCGTTCTTGAACAGCTAAAGGAAAAAAACTATTAAGAGTTCCAGTAATCAAGTTATTCTTCAGCCTTGCTGTTGGGAGGTACGGGGAAAACTGCAAATTCAGAGATCTGTGATAACTCCCTCCCCACGCTTTTTTGATCTCCAATTGCTATTGCATCTCCTGAAAATGCAGAGATGGAGGAGCCAGGCTGCCATTTCTGCTTTCCAGGGAATTCTGACAGATTAAGTGATTTTAAAGCTATGAGAAGATGCCCAGAGATAGATTCCCCCCCTGCTCTGGCAAAATGTTTTCACCAGAAGTGGGTGGCTTGTTGAATTGTAAATACTGTTGTATGCTTCTGAGTGGTTTGGGGTTGTTTTTTTTCTTTTTGGTTGTGTTTTTTTTGTTGTTGTTTTTTTCTTTTCCATGGGGTCAAAGGCAACATGCCTTTCTCCTGTAACCCAGACTGGCTCTTCCACCTGTGAGGCAGGTAAAAGTAGAACTGGTTTTACTGCCCCGTGAAGCTTTTGAGCGATACGCACAGGTCCAAGTGGTGTGAGTTGAGCACTGCTGAAGAGACAGGAGGAAAGGGACAGGCCTGACGGCTGTGCAGGTGCTCTTCAGCCTGACTGTGCTGAATCAACCTGTTACCTTGTCTCAGTGGCAGGCACTGCCCTTGAGAAAAGAGCAATCTTAGATCACAAGTTCGTTGTCTTGATTACAGAACAGACTTGAGTTGTTAATAAGAGGGAAGACTAATGAGGAAAATGCTCTTGGCATCACTTTATTCAAGCCTCATCCTTGGGTCTAGTTTGTGTCCTTCACTAGCCAGACTGAGATCCTGGGCAGGATCCCGTGGCCATGGGTTCCCTCACCCTCCCAAGGGCATGACCAAGCAAGCACAGAGCAGGAGATCACCGCTTGTCCCCCAGAGAGCTGCTGTTCAAGAGTGTCAGGATCTGCTGCAAGCACACCCCAACTTACCAACACACGGTTCAAGTGCTGAAACGTTGCTTGAGCACCCAGCGATGAAGCCCAGTGTGATTCTTGAAGATCTTCTAAAGAGTTTCCCCCTTGAGTCTCCGCAAGTGTTTGTAGATGGAAACCACCAGCGATTAAAACTTGCTGCTTGCCTTGCAGGGCTTTTCCCTACCTCTGAGCACGAGTTAAGGACTGTTTAAGTCGTCAGCTTCGCTCTGTCAGACGCAGGAGCCTCAGGCTGCGCGGTATCGTTGGCCACCACCTTGGCTTCTCCATACGTGTCTATGCATTTCCCCACAGCTTTCAGGATAAGCTGCAACCGTCTGTCCAAAGCCAAGAGATGGGGTTCGGTGAGGACCGGTGCCAGGCGGTCCTGCAGGAGGGATTCCCTCATCACGTCGCTGAGCCGGTACTCGGGCTCGGCCAGGAGCTGGAGTCGTAATAATGTTGTCCTCTTTATTCTGCAAAAAAACAGAATTGGACACCTTAATGGAGACTTCTTGTGGCATCCTAGCAAGAACCAGCTGTCTGAATCACTTGGCAGTAGGCAAGGAGGGAGGGCAGAGATGGGTGAAGGTACTTGACAAAGAGCTTTGGGAAAAAAGCTTTCCCTTTCTGGAAGAAGTGAATTTATTTTTTTTTTTTTTTTTCAGAAACCTCTGCTTCTTCCTTTGTTTTTCCAGACTGAAGAGTGTTTGTGCTGCAGATTTCTGTTGTCAGAGAGAAAAACATGATAGAAATTCTCAGTAATAAGTGTTTTTCCTCTGAGTCAGAGATGACCCAGTTCCCCAGATTACTGCAGGGTGGTGGCATGTTCCCAAGGATGACATTTATGGGGTGGGGGCAGAAAGGGAGACAGAAAGAAGAGGCATGAATTAGAGAAAAAAAATCTTTTGTCCAAACTCTGACTAAAAAAAGGGAATATTTCCTAGAACTGATTTAACTGTGACTTTTCACTTTAAGAGAGACTGAGATTTAAGTATTATTTCCCTTTGACAGAAAGTGGGATGAAAAGCTATAATCTTAGAACACTTCTGGGAACAAAACTAAGTATTCTGAAATCATTTGTTTAATCTTCAGTCAAAGTTTTTGAAGAAATCATATCTAATGCTTACATTAATCAGTGCTTTTAATTATGGCCCTTTAAATTTTGGAAAAAAAGTAGTCCATGTTTGTGGAGCCACTCCTATTTAGCTGATCAGGCCTTGCCTCGCAGGAGGGAGGGAGAAAGGTGCCATAACTGGGGCAGGTAATTGAAAAAGTGTCTGTTGTCCTGGCTGCCCACTGCCAGGCTTACATTAATAATCCTAAAAAAAAAATTGGCCAAGTTCTAAGCCAGACAACGAGGCTTTAAATCGCTGCCGGAGCGTGGCTGTGAGGTTCTGCCAGAGAAAGCCTTGCACAGAGCAGATGCAAACTGCAGCCCGAGTGATCTCCTTCGAGGCACGGGATGGCCGAGGAGCTGCTGTGGGTAAACACCAGCTGTGTTTGCTCTGGTCCGAGCGGCCATGGGCCTTGGAGGTGGAGAACAGGATGGTCTGACCCCGCGGGGAATGGAACAGTTCTGTCAGAAACAGGCAGAAGGCGGGAAGGAGCGCGAGATGGAAATCCTGCTGCCGGCCCTGCTCCTCTCCCACAGGGCAGATACAACCCTGCTGCTGCACTGAATTGTTGAAGGTTTGCCCCGGAGCCTTCTAGGGACTTCAGCAGCTGATACATGGGGACTGTTTTCAGGCCTGTCTGTGCCTTGTTGAGTGTTCTGACCCTTTTGGGAAAAGGCCCATCTCTTCCTGCACCGGCTGGATTCGTGGCTTTACTGTGCGTGGAGCACCGCTGGGAGAGGAGAGCGGCAGACTCCAACGTGTGGGACAGGAACTGGTGTGGGAGCTGTGAAAGGCACCTAAAAATACCAGACTTAAATCTGCTGGAAGCCAAACATAGCAAATAACTCAGCAACTCAGCTGGGAACAAGATGAACATGTTTAACGGGGAAGCGAGCAGCCTGTTGTTCAGCATCCCTGTGGTTTGAGTGGTCCTTCTTGTCTGGAGGACTTGGTTCCTCCTTAGGTGTCCACGGCCCGACCTCGTACAGGAACCAGGAGGTGACTCAGTGGGATGTTGGTCAGGGCAGGCTGAAATCTGTGGCTTCTGTGCTTACTCACATAAACCTTTCTACTTCCTTTCCAAGTGTTTTTGGATGCTCCCCCGCTCCAAATGGATTGGCTGTTGTGGGAAGGGAGGTTTTGTGGTGTCCCTTGGACAGCACAAGTTAATTTTATGCTGTTCTCAGCCCTGCTTGGCTTATTACAAGGTGGGACTTGCAGGTCTTCTTACCACTGCCTTTTACAAGGAGAATAAATTAAGAGGAGCTTCTGGGAGGAGGATCTGGAAGAACAGGAAGGATCCCACCAGTGGATGTTATTGTATAGTGGTCAAATTAAGAGGCAGAGTTAATTTAAACTGCACAGAATAGGAGTTCAAGGGAAGGATTCACTGTGAGCCTGCAATTATAAATGAAAAGACTTACTGGGTGCAAATAAGAGTTCTTAAAATTAGAGCCAGTAATACAAGCATATGGGGAGAGAGTGCAGTTAACACCTCAAGGCTGAGATGGAGCAGGTACAGGGAGGAAATAGGTTAGGCATCTCCCAAAGAGAAACCACAGGGGGAAGAGCAGCTTTTTCTGTCTCTTCAGTTCAACTTTCAGCTGATGATTTAAGTGAATTAATAAAGGGGGAGGATAGCATTTAAATAGTGACATTTATGAGCTTCTCCTTAATGCCACAGGAAGAAGAAACGTGATTCGCTGTGTCGCAGTTCTAGCAGGCTTTTGGACAGAGATTTCTGAGCTCCTCATCAAACAAACGGGGCTGGTAGCACCTCATGTCGATGGGCTGGGACAATGCTAGGAGATGCTTCTGGAAGGGTTTAATCCAATGGAAAGCTCTTACATTTGCAAGGCTTTTTATCTTCACTGGACATTCAAGCAGATCCTTGCACTTTGCTGAGCCTTGTGCTGAGCGATAACTGGGATTGGTCTGGGAGCTGGTGGTGTGGTGGGGAGGAGGGAAGAGCTTGGAGAACCCTCACCCAAGGAGGACAGCACAGCTGGAGGAGGGTGGTTTGAAACAGGGTGATGTGAAGTGTTACTGCAATAGAAGTTTTGATCTGTTCCTCATGGTCCGTGGGGATGCGGGAAGCCCATCTACGGTTATCATTTAGGGTATTCTGATAGAAAAGGACCATCCAAATGGAAAGTGTCCAGAAAGGACAGTCATATGACATCGTAGCAGGCTGCAGCACAACAGAGCTTAAGACTCTAACCGATGTAGGAGCTTAATCCCTCTTTCAGCAACAACTTGTGATCCCCATGCTCTGGTGTCTGACCTGTCCCCTTGGCTGGGATTAGCGGGGGCTCTTCCCTGCGCTGCTGGATGGAGCCCGGTGACTTCCAGCAGCAAGTGCTGCTCATCTGGGAACACCAACGAGTCTGGGAAGGAAGATGAAGCTGGCACTTACATGCAACACTGGGAGAGCGGGGCCAGGATGGAAGTTTCGTCATGGGAATGCCGCCCGAACCTGGGGGGTTAAAGTAGAGAGTGCAGAGCTTTGAGTACCTGCCCACCACCTTCCCCTCCCCTCCAATGTCCTCCCACTGCCTCACAATTTCCTCCCGCTGTCTCACCCTCTGGCATTGTCCAGGTGTAAGAGGAAGCCGTCATCCCCAAACTTGGTGAACATCTCGTAGTGGTGACGGTCCATGTTCCCTGGTAGAAGGCAGACAGAGGATCAGAGTTTCCCTTGCGTGCGACCAAGTCATTTTCTATGTTTTCTTTCATATCTGCGTGCAATACTTGTCGTCTTGCTGGAAGTGTCTTAAGATGCTCAAAGCTGCTGCTTTCGTCTTGCTAGGGAGTGGGCTGGGGTGGGCCTGGGGGATCCCCTTGCCTGCACATCAGGAGGGGTTGTGAGGGTGGGCAGTCTCCCAAAACCATCTCTGGAGCGGAAGGGGTGGCTTTCAGAAATGCCATGGCATGGGAGGGCAGGCAGACTGCTGCTGAAGGCCCACGTGGAAGGAAGGAACGTTACATTCATCTTACCTATTAGGAAGTCAAATATGGCCATGTCAACGATGTTAAGCAGCCGGTTGCCATTGCTGTAGGGGTAGATCTCCCTCACTGTGTCGCAGTAGAGCGGATTCACTTCCCACCTGCAGGAGTTGGAGGAGAAAGGGGACGCACACTCAGTGGTTGCTGCTGCCGTGACCCAACAGAGCCCCAAAGCTGGTCTCCCGTGTGGCAGCTGAGAAGGACTTAAGTCTCCCTCCCGGTGCATGCAGGAGATTGGAAATTGAGTCCAGCCAACGCACAGGCATTAAGTTATGAGACTGATTCTGGGCCATCTCTGAACCTTGGCCCTCCTCTGCCTGGACATACAGTTGCTGCGCGTGTGTCTGTACCCTGCTCATTCTCCTTCCCGCGTGCTCCCTGCGATGCAGATCTGGGAAGCGGCATCATTTACCCACTTACTCCTCTTTTCCATCAAACGAGTAGGACCGGATCCATGGGTTTGGGATGGAGAGCCGTGGTGCCAGGTTGAGGGACGGCAGGAAAGCAGAGAGGGACCCTTCCAGGAGGTGAGGGTTCCCGCACACCGCGTACTCAGTCTTGCACATGTACGGGCACTTGGCAAAGAAGCAAACGTTGCTGGCTGAGAGAAGAGAGAGGAGTATGGGGAAAGGAGCTACGACCTATGGGACGCTGCAAGGTAGCCTGGACTGAGCTCTTGCCCGCTGCGTGACAGTGGCTGCTTGTATTGTTCATACATCACCACATCCTGGGTGCCAAACTGCCAAATAGGGGACAACACCTGGATTTTTGTTGACGGACAGACCTGGCCCTGCCTGTGCTGGGTTGGGGAAAACTGGGCAGACAAGTAGGCCTGGCAGATGATTCCAGCCAGGGCTAAGGGACACCTCTATCGTAACCACATCTTTGTGCATGTTTCACCCAAGAATTTAATTTCCACTCAACCGCACAAGTCGTGCCGGCCCCTTTTTCAAGCAGATTGTGCTTTTCCACCCACACGGACCAACACGTCTAATCCCCGCTCGCAGCAGCCGCGTGCTCGTGTACCTGGTGAGATGAAGAAGACGCTCTGCAGGATCTCGTTCTTGGTGACCTCCAGGATCTCCTTGGTGACGTTGATTAACCTCCCAACTGTGGGTGGCACCCTCCGGAAATCCAGGATCCTGCACAAAAGGGACAGCGGCTCAGAGCCCACAGCGCTGAGGGATGTTGCTGCGCAGGACGGCAACGTGGGATGACAGATGCTGCCCTCGTCCCTTCCGTTGGTAAACCAGGGGCTTTCTGATGACTGCACCCACGTGGATTTTTTTATTCTTGCAGCTTCTTTCTAATAAATAGCCAGGATGATTTTAAACTCTGGACCAAAACGTGACCTGAGTTCAGACTTTGCTATTTTAATAGCCTGAGAGTCTGGATGTTCTCCAGGATCCATGTCTTTTCCCTAACTGGTTTCTCCCATCCCCTCACAAGCAATCTGGGTCCCTTGGGAGCCAGAACACTCCTTTGGGCTGTTGGATTTGACACAGAGTAAAGATGTGTGGAACCTGGTACAACACGACTGAGACAGCGGGAGGCATGAAGGCATCACCCCGCTCAGAGGCACTCATGCCCAGCTGATTAATCTCAAATATTTTTTAAAAAAAAATCAGCGCTTGCGGCTGAATGGCGTTCCTGTCAGTGAGTGCAAAGCTGCTGTTGATTGCTGAGTCAGTAACATGGGGTGAAACAGCTCCTGCTGTGCTTTGCTCCTTGGGTAATGCCCTCTGCTTCTGAGAATCAGGCACAAAACAGGATTTAGCCTGTTACTTATTGAGCAATGTTTAAAGAAGAAAAGAAAAAAAGAAAATATTATTTGCTTTCATCTAGCACTTTTCAGTGCTGAAAACCACAAAGCACTTCAGAAGAGCAATCCAGCCTTGTTTTTCTGGCGGTGGAGCTGGGATGCAGAGAGGCAAGCTGATGGCAGCTCAGTTGAGTAGAGTCACTGCGGTGATGTAGGGGCAGAGCTGGAGAAGGAATTCAGCTCTTTTCACTCCCTCGCTCAGAGCTGAAGCTACAAGACTTCATTTAGTCCTGCGTATCACCATCATCATCAGGGATCACTTTCCCCTGATGTTCAATACTCATCCCATCAAGGGGAAGAAGGCTGCCGCCCTCCTCTTCTAATAAAGGTATTTTTTATTTTATTCAATACAAAGCTGTCTAGGAAGAGGTGCCACGTTAATTGCTCATTAGCTGAGGGCTTGAAAGTGCATTGCTGCTGTTTATCTCGGTGCAACACACGCCTTGATTGCTGATTGTGTCTGTGACTCCCTCACCAGGAGGGATCCAGGCTGTGCCCAGAGCTCATCTGTGCACTTCGATGCATGGTCAGGACCTTGAGTGTGTGGCTGTGTGATGGCTGAGCAAATACCTGACCTGCTCATGACCTGGGCTTCATCTGCCAGGCTCTTCTCATGCAGTGGCCAAGACAAAAGCTGACTCTTGGGCTTCAGACAAGTGCCAGAGCCACCCTGTCCCCAAATAACGCATCGGTTCCCCAAGGGCTGCTTCAAGGCAATTGCTGATCTACGTCTCTGCAGGGCTCAGCACAGCTTTTCTCGTGCCAAAGCTCTCCGTGGGCAGAGGAGGTGCTGGCAGTGGGAGGAGGCAGGCGCCGGGGCAGGTCCCTACCTGTCCAGGTGGAAGGCGGCGATCTCCGCGTTGTGCCGCTGGAAGTCAACAAAGTAGAAAAAGTCCTCAGGGGTCTCTTCGTCCCGTTTCTGCCTGGAAGAGAGAGCAAGAGAGGGGTTAACCTAATCAAGCACAGCAGTGCAGGTGGGCAGCCTGGGCACAAAGCAGTGGCACAAGGACAGTGCACCCAGGGACAGCTGTTTGGTGGCAGGGCCACTGGGCAGAGCTGGTGCCCAGGCCAGGACCCAAAGTCTCTGGTGCTGAGCCCAAGCCCTTACCAAGGAGCAGCGTTTGGGAGGGAAGCAGAAGGGCTCCCTGTGGGCTTTAAAGCCACTTGTGCCAGAGTTTAGACCCGCTTGCTTAGGACTGCGTTTCAGGTGGGGGTGCAGCATCGGGAGGGGATGCTAGAGGCCGTGCCGTTCTTCCCGCATCCCTGTGGGAGGCAGAGAAGAGCTCAGGTGTGATGCTTTCATCTCCTTGCGATGGCATCACCAGCTTATTTCATTTCCTGGCTGTCACACAGTGCCCCAATATGTGCAGCTTGTGAAGTGGCGTGTCCAGCCTCCCACGCAGCTGTACATCACAGGACAGCCCTTCTGGCACAGCTGGGTGCGTGGATGCTTTCCTTCCCTGTCAGACACCGGGCAGAGGTGGATGGAAACCAACAGGAGAGGAGCTGGCTGCTTTCTGGGTGAGCAAACCACGGCAGCGTGTGCGCTACCGCCTGCCCTGCCTGTGCACGGGAAGTAAAGCGACTGGGAATAAATGCAGAGAGTCCCGAGGGGCTACACGTAAGTACAGAAGCAATTTAAAACTGCTGTTTGAGGTGACTGGGACTGATGGCTCTTTCTTGGAAATACTCTGGGGAATACAAGGAGAAACAAGGTAAAACACAAAACCAGCTGGCGAAGAGGAAGAATTGGGCAGTCCCTAACAGCAGAGCTCTCGGGAGAACAATTGTCCCAAAGTCCTTTGCCACCTGATGCCTGCAAACTGGGAAATTTCCGATGTCAGTAAGTGGTGTGGAAACATTGGTGTTTACCTGTGCGTGTCTCTGGGATGGTGCAAGCAGCCAATAATCATTAAACTTTTTTCAGCCGTCAGGTGGCTGAGTGCCATGAGGAAAGGTGTGGCTGCGATGTGGCTGCCCAGGATGCTTGCGCCCCTCGCTGCGGGGGGCTTCGAGAGGGGCTCTGCTGGTATATCTTACCTCATGGGCTTGAACATGGCTTTCCCAAAATCCTGGAACCTGAGGACCAGCTTCAGGTGCACGCCACTGGGCTTCACGACTTGGAAGGAGGAAAGGGGACGTTAGCGGCTTGGGAAGCCTCCCCAGCGCACGGTGAAACACCGGTTGCCAGCTCCATCGCGATTCGGCTTTTCACCCCAGTGAGTGCATCCCACAGCTCCTTCCAGCCCCTCTCCTTCTCCCCTCTGCTTCCGCGGTTGTTTTTCCTCCCTCTCCCCTGTCCATAGATTTCCCTCCAGCACTTCTGACAGCCATCCTTTACATCCTCTAGGGCACTTTTTCCTCTGCCCAGTAGAAACTGGTGGCAGACTGGTGTCCTGGCACCCACATCCCAGCCTCTGCTGGGGTTTAATTGGTGGGAGAAGGGCCTGGCATCGCCTGGCTTTATGTTCCCCTTGCTGAGGTCAGGAAGGAGGAGTTGGGGACTGGGGTCAGCCGACGCGGCGGCGTGTGGGGGGAAAGCGGGGCCCCGAAGCGCCGCACTCACTCTGGCTGCAGTCGCAGGCTCCCAGCAGCGCTTTCTCATCCTGGCTGTAGTCTGCAAGGGCAGGAGGAGCAGTGAGACCCCACTGGGCTCAATATCTTGCTGCTGACCCCCCTCCCAGCACAGGGCACGCAGAAGGGGACGCTGCCTGCCCATCCCTGCAGCCCCCGTGCCCAGAGGGAAGGGCGCAGTCCCCTCAGTTGGGGGCTGAGGAAGCTGGCACCAAAAACCACCACGTTAAGGGTCACAGCTTGCTCTTTGTTGCCATTTCATGGCAAAGGCAGGGTGACTGCACAGCACAAAACCTGCCGGGAAGCTGGCACAGGGCTCTAGGTTTCCTCTGGCAAGCAACAGCCCCTGCCTGGTTGGCAAAAGTGACCGGGATGGGGGCTGGAGCAGCTCCCAACAGCCCCATCTATGCAGCAGGAAGGTGCTTACCGGCACTGATCATGGTCAAGTCCTGCATGTCCTGGAGGAGCTTGTTGACGGTGGGGCTGGAGCGCGGGTAGAGCCCATCACGGCTGATGCCCAGGTGGAACTGGAGCCAGCTTGCCTCTGGCCGCAGCGGCAGTGGCGCTGACGGGGAGGTCAGGTTGAGCTCCTCCCTGTAAAGCTTGTGTCTCCTGGAAGAGAGCGGTTACAGGGTAGTGAGGATGAGCCCCGGGATGGAATCCCTTACTGCTCCAAGCCCAGGCGCTGTCAGGGAGGGGGGAGGGTTGCTGGGGAGCAGAGCCGGGCCGCTGGGGGTAGATAAGGACTCTGGGTGCTGCCGAAGGGGAAACCGAGGCAGGGAGCGATGACTGAGATCGTCAAAGATCTTGCAAATTGTGCCTTCTTCCCTCTGCAAAGCCCTGGGAAAGCAGCCTCACGTGAGAACACAAGGGACTCTTGTCTTCTCCCCACCCAGCGAGCGGGTGCTGACCCTGCCCCAAGGCACTTATCGGCCAAGGAGTTGGTGCTGGCAGCTGCCTCATGAGTGTTGCTGAGATTTTTTTGCTTCTAACCAGCAGGAAAGTGCTGGGTTTCAGGGTTGTTTTGTTTTTTCCCATCATCCTTCTCCATCCAAGCAGCCAAACAGTGTGGTCAGTCCAGTCTAGCCATGAGCAAGGGATGAACCTTCCTGGCAGCGAGGGACACATTTCAGTGCTGTCTTGGGAGAAATCTAGGAAACAGAGAGACGTGGCATAGCTGGAGGTCAGAGCAGCCCGTTGCCTTTCAACATTTGTTTGCCTTTCAGCTGGATTGGGTCAGCTACAGGGCAAAGTCCACGTGTGCATGGTCAGGAAGAAAGGTGTCAGAGCATTTCTCTCTCTGTCCAGCGTTTTGCTCAGGCCATCCACAAAAGGAGGCAGAAGCTCCCCCAGGTTGGCAGGAGGCTCACAGGCAGGTTGGGCTGTCAGGCTGTGTTCCAGGACGTGGCCCCGGGATGCTGTCAGCTCTGGCAGACGTGCCTTGACCTTCCAGCGTGCTGCCGTGCACCAGGGCTCACACGGGCAAGTCACAACCCGAACCAAACCAGGGACAGTAAAGACCCCAGTGTAATTTTGAAGAATGACTCAGGATTTTTCCCTAGGGAAGCTGCCCAAATATTTTGCCATATTTGCTCTCCTGCCTCCTATACACACACAGGCTCTTCCCCCCAGGGTGGCAGTGAGCAATAGATTACTGATGGGGAAAAAAATGCAGCAATTATGCAAGGGAAGGCAGCTCCTGGCTGGTGGCCGCTCCCCAGCCCAGCGCCCGCACGTTCCCTGCCCTGGCTGAGCCGCTGCACAGCCAGAGAGCCCCTTTCCAGGCTTTAAACCCAAAATATAGCTCCCTCTGCCTCCCCGTTTCCTTCAGAATTCCTGAAATATTTCCCTGTAAGAACATATCTCTGCAAAAGACATAATGATAGAAAAAAATGGGTTCATTTCTACCTTGCTATAAATAGCCCCGGATTTGCCCTTGCTCCGCTCAGCCAGCTCGCTGCGAGGGGCACGGCGTGGGGTGATGCTGGGCTTGGGGCACCCATGTCCGCTCGGCCCATGCCTCCCCTGGCACCGAGCCGGTTACACAGTTTGAGGTTTTGAAGCTGCTTCTTCAAGGATAAAAATAAGCTCCAGAGTTTTAAAGCATTTTTGGTGAGGTTTTTTTTTTTGGTTTTGAAGAGGTGTGGATGACTTTTTTTGCTGTTTCCTTCCTGCATCCCCATCAGTTTGCTCCAGCTGGTTCTGCAGCCTGCAGTCAAACTCCTGATCCTAACTGAAGGGGCGGGGAAAAGCACGGTGACGGGCAGCAGCCAGCACACAGCGAGCACCGCGGCGGTAGGACACGCTCACATCTGACCTTCTCCTGCCTGGTCGTGGATGTGGTCACATCTCGGTGAGAGCTGCCGTGGTCCTTGCTCCTGCAGCACTAACTTCAGTCCTCAGTGACAGCAGCAGCTTCGCTGAACCAGTGGATTGGGAGAGAAATCCAGGGGTTCCTGTGTCCCGCGGAGGACGCTGCCCTTCGCTCTCGGCAGTTACAAGGTCTGGCCAGGTCAGAGAGGATGTGGGCTTTGCAGCGCTTCTGGTGAGGCAGAAATTCCTCCGTGCCCACAGCAAATTAACGGTCTTACGAAACGTGCCAACCCTGGCAAGTGCTGTCTTATTATATATTCAATTTGCAGCGCCAACAGCAGCAGAGGTTGCGTGTCACCTCAGCCTGTGCACACTCTCTGAAGGCTCTACTCGCTTATGAGCATCATATATTCTATTTCAAAGTGACTGAGGAATAATCAATACTCTGCCTCCTTTCTCCTTCCCAGAGGTGCAAAGCGAAGTCAATCAAGGACAAATGGCATCACAAGTCTCCTGTTGGACGCATCATAACCAAACCTTACAACAAAAGGCAACGTGCAGCCATGGATTTGTCGCAAATAGCACGTTTAAACAAAGCAGTAAATAAAGTCGGGGAATGCAGACTTCTTACCAAATAGCCGGGGCTGCCCCACAGGCGAGGCTGACATGCTGCAAACGCTCAGCACTGGGTGCTCAAGGCTTTGGTGGTGCTTACGGACCCATCAAATACGTGCCATGAGCTGCTTTGGTTTGAATCTCCCATCCCGACAGGGCTTTTGCTTGGGAAACATCCATGTTGCTACTCAAATCCTGATGGCTTCAGGAGGCATTGCTCAGTGCTGAGAAGATGCACCTGAAGATGGTCCATGGCACAGCCTGGCCATGGCTCGTGTCCTGAGGATACCCAAACCATGGACTTCAGGAGATGTGAAGGAGGATTCGACCTGCTCCAGACTGACCCGGGCAAGGAGCGAGCCTCGCGGGGGTGATCCCCAGCCAAGCACACAGGGTGGCTCCAGGCCCTGGGCACTGCTCAGGCCATGGAAGGTTGTTCTTCAGTTCCTTCCATTATTGCTTCTCATCGTCTGCTCCTGCGAATCACCCCTCAATGCAGCACTGGGTGAGTCCCAGAGAAATGAGACTGTGCATCGAAGTGGGAGCTTGTAACTCCTGCCTGTGCAGCTCAGCAAACAGCTCGTGGGTGGAGAGAGGAGCAGTGGCCAGCTCCGATGCTCAAAACCAAACCGGGGCAGCAGGGAAGTGCCAGGACAGAGACCTCTGAGGTCATCACCAGGAGACACCGTCGTCCCCTTGCAGGTGGGTACCATCCCCATGCCATGAAAGGGGGGTGAGGTGATGCTGTGAGCTCGGTGGGCTGGGAGATTCTGCAAGGAGGCAGCACGGTGATCTGCTCTGGCACTGCATCACTGTGGCCATCTCTTTTGGATCCAAGTTTGGGAGCAAGGAAAGAAGCCTGGGTGCAGGGAGGAGTTGGGGAATGCTGGCTGTTTCCAGCTTGGACGCAAACCTCCTGGAAGAGGAGTTAGACTGGGGATTCAGGGGCCCCGTGGTATGAAGCCTCAGCAGTCGGGTCATGCACAGGCGGCCGATGCTCAGAGCTAGTGCTGAGGTCACTGTCCCCTCTGGGGCAGGAGCTGCGGGGGTTAGTAGCAGTCCCACCCCAGGAGCAGATTATGGAGGGGAGGGGGAGATTTTCAGCAAGCGTTCCTGAGGCTGGGAGAGGCAGCAGAAAGAGGGCTCTGAGCTGGGAGTGCCTTTCTCTCCAAAAGTAAAAGCCTCCACTCCTTTTCTTGTGGAGAACTCAGCAGTGGGAACAGAAGAGGGGCTGAATGGGGAGCCAGCACCCTGACACTGCGGAAACCCCTGCACCAAGATGTGCAGGGCTCTGGCCTGGGGGGCTCTGGCTGCTGGAGTTT